AATTAGTTTGTGGATAGATATGACTGAACATATCTACATTCTCTCCATTATATCGTATTTATTGTAAAAGATTGTATCAAAGAAAATTCCTGACTTGATTGTTAAATAAATCCAAAATAATTATAAATTAAGGGGAAAAAATCAAAATCAAAACGTCTATATTCAAAGCTGTGAGATAAAAGAATATTGGAATTGAAGAACTAGTCGTAGTAATACGACAGTAAAAACGGGCCACTATCTCTGGTCTACACGGCCACTATGTTAGCCCGAAAGAAGACCAACGCTATGTCTACCACACGTGCGGGGTATTCTCAGGCAGGGACCCTTTCAAGAGTCAATGTACTCTTCGTCGCACGTGTCCGTGTCTCTGAGCGATATGTCCAATTTTGTGACTTCCCAAAATCCTACGCCGACTGGTTGTCTGCATCATCTTAAATATTCTTTTATCCCAATATAAGCATAAAAGATCGATTTTATGAGAATATAGGCATAAAGCACTCGATATTCTAACTACGGAAATGTGTTTCTATCGGTTTAATGTCTCCGATCCACCTCACGGGTATGGGACATACTGCATGCAGATGGTTTATCATACATGCACAACTATAGGATAAGGTTTGCTTAATAAAATAAAATGTATATATATACTCGTCCAGTTGCTAAATTTACGTACGTTGCTATAATTTTTATATGACTGATTAATATTGAACTGTGATATGTAGTTAATTTGATAATATTTATAATTTAATGGTTTGTAACTTTGTATTATTACTATCGATGTATCACTATTTGGAATTAGGGTTCAAAATTGTTTAGTGCATGCTATTACTGACAGTAAAAATTTGACTAATGTTTTACAATGTTTATATGTTTGATGGATATTTTAGATTAGATGCCTCGGAATGTTTTGGTTTATCTCTTGTTCGGCGATGAACTTTCCTACTTTACATTTTATTTCCTTAGTAAAATACGTTTTTATCTGAAAAAGAAAACTAGAGGTCAATAAAAACATATTACCTTATTGGTTTTGAGACACTATCTAAATATTTTCTTCTCAGTTCTTACAAAAGATTTTCACATTACTTTCTCATTTGCTTTACCTTCCTCCTCTTCTGATTTGCTTTACTTATTTCCATTTGGTACATAAAGTTGAAAAACAATATTATATCTATA